GCGTGGGGCGCGGGCTTAGCAGGCTGCACCGCCACCGACCCCTCCCGGGACCTGTCGGACCCGGCGCCTGCGTCCCACCACCCGAACCCGCGTAGCAGACTCTGCGAGCCGCCGTGAACAGGCCCGGCCGCGGTGTGGGACAGATCGCCCCGCCGCGCCCCGCGGGCCCGGGTAGAGTAAGGGGCTCGAGGAGCCTGCAGGGGCCACGGGTGACGGCCACATCGGAGGGGTTGGCTCTCTGGTCATTCCTCCCCAGCCTCCCCTCCTCGGCCCCTAGGCTCTCCTGGCTGGGGTGACACCCCTCCTTTCGCGTTCCCTAGGCTCCCGCCCACTGCCCTGACTCCCCAGCCGCCTCGGGGGTGATTTCCCCTGCGTGCGAACACCGCACCGAGTACGATTCGACCCCCCTCACCTTCCCCTGCATCTCTCCTCCTCCAAATTCCCTCCCTTCGCCTTTCCTGTCATCCTTCCCACCCGCTTCCTCCCTCCGCGACCCTTTGCTCATTCTCTAGCCCAGTCTGTCTCGCTGCAGTTTCGCTTTTATCCGAGTCTCAAGTCTGTCTGTCTCTCCCGGCGCCCCCTCCCCCTCCTCTGCTATTAACTTCTCTGATTGGCGCCCGGCTCCGGCGCTGGCTGATGAGCCCTATTCACTCCCGGGCTTGACACTCTCGACCTGCCCCGGCTGATTGCTGGGGGGCTGGCCTTGGAGCGCTGATGAGCCACAAGGGTCAGCTTCGCTAATTATCCGCTAATTGCAGATGACTCTCTCACCTCCCCCATTCCCAGACACTGAAATGATGGCACCTTTTACTCTCCTCTTCCTCCTGATTCGCAGCAGCGGAGTTTGACAATCAGAGGCAAAAGTCAGGGCACTTGGGCTGGATAGAGCCTCCAGCCTGAGAGGAAGCTGAGACAGACGGGCAGCAGCGCCTTCCCTGGAAGGACAGTGGCTGAGCCTCAGGACCAGAGCTAGCTAGTCCCCTGGAGAAAGCCAGTGTCACTCAGAACCTAGAAGACTACCAACGGCTCAAGTGAGCCAAGGACATGCAGCCTGGGTACAGAGGTGGCTGCCAAAGCCAGGGGGGCTTGGAAAGAGAGGGGAATTATGTGGTTCAAGTGAGGAGGGGAAAAAAACCAAGGTGAGGTGTCCCCAAGTCCCCAGAGCCCAGACAGACCCAGACCAGACGGGGAAGGGACACTTGAGTGACCCTTGTTCACATCAGTCACACCAGCTAAGGACAAAAGTATGCTTCAGTTGACAGTTCATCAGGGGGGTGAGCAGAGGAGTGCCACTTCATGGACTCCTGATCTACCTGTGGCTCCACATTAAAATCTGTGATACTGAGAAGAGAGGGGCCAGTAGGGAAAAGGTTGCCATGGAGAAAGAAGAGATCCTGGAACCCTAACTCACCACTGAAGCACTGGGTGACACCCATCCTGCCTTAAGAGAATCTCCAGAACATTCCTTTGATAAATTACCCAAGCACCTCACTTTATCAGCATGGGAGACAGTGTTACAGCGTTCTTAAAGTTTTGAGTGGTCAGATGCTGGGAACATCCTGAAGCTGTTGACGCAAAACACTACTGAGAGAACTTTGGGCTCCAATAACGGGAACTGCCTGCGTGGCAGAGAGCCAGTCCAAGATGGTATGAAGGTAGAGGCAGTTTTAAGAAGCACTCGTTTTTGTATAAGCAATAAAAGAACATAATACAAAATTCCAACAGCAGCTCCCTTCTACCAGTCCCCTCTCCCCTTCCACTCGCCCCCCACCCGCGCAGTAAAGAGACATTCATAAAGCTGTCGCTCACTGGTGGGACAGAGTTGAACATTCATTGTCAACTACCTAAGGTTAAAGACCATTGTGATCTGGAAGATGTGTATCATCCAGCTCAAACCCAGAGCTGCTGGAGCAGAGAGGAGCTTGACCTGCTGATTCTCAGCTCAGGCTGCTGGTACACAGAATCCAGGCAAGAAGCTTTGTCCCCAACAGGTGCCAGGGGCCTGCAGTGAGACCTTTACAACTTTGTAAGTGGCCTGATGCCATGGTGCATGTGAGTCAGACACGGTACTTCATAATTCATTCACAATCTCGTTTACATGTCTAGTGGGCCATGGCCATGGAGGGTGACTTCTGCATTGCCCTGGGCCTGGGCTGCAGCCTGTAGCTAACCTGGGCATTGGGGTCGCTGATTCTCTCCCACCCCCTCCTCTGAGGGGGCATAGAATGGAGGCTATAAATATCTCCTGCCCAGTCAATGAGTCGGTGCGAGTGGCACGTGAATAGCAGCAAACGCATTTCAAAAGGAGCCCTCTGCCCCCTAAAGGACCAAGCAACTCCTAGTGGCCAACGAAGAAGGAAATGCACCTTCACAGAACCAGCGGCGCCTACTCTCCCATCAGTACCAAGGACAGAACCTGCCGAAATGCAATCCAAAGGAGGCTTGCTTCGTTTTCTGCCCGTTGCCCGTCCAGTGTGTTCAACCTTACAGGACGGGGTAGAACCGCCCCGCAGGACTTCCAAGGCTGTCATCCGTCCGTGCCGCCGACCTGCCGGTTCGCAGTCAATCGCTGCAACCATCGCGGCTTCTTTCTTACCAGGCGACAACGCTGTTGTGTTCCTCCTAGTTAGCCCAAGGAGGCTCCTAGCGGGCAAGCCCGCTACCCATTGTCCCCAGCGCGCCCCCGGGTGGCCTCTGCTCCGTCCCGCCCTCTCTCACTGTCCCCAAGCCGCTGGGGGAGGAATCGCGTTTTGAGTCTACACTGTGCAGCTAAATTGCGGACTTCGCGAGCATCTAATTTCATCATCTGACCTCCCTCGCCTGCCAAGAAAGAACAAAAGTATCCTCCTATGGAAGGCCCCGGAGCAGCGCAGTCTCCCCCTGCACTCTTGGCTGGAGAGGCCGCTTGCGCTGGCCAGCTCGCAGAGCCCTGCTCGCGGCCGCCCTCTGGTGACAGTACGGAGCACCTGCAGCCATTAGGGGCGCGATGCGGAGTGCTGCAGCGCTCCCTGGTGGGACTGACGAGAGGTGCCGAGGACGGGGCGTCTGCGCGCGTCCGGGGGGGAGGGGGCGCCTGGCTGTGCGTGCGGGGGCTGATGGGGGCTGTACTTGCGTGACTTAAAGTCGAGTGTGAATGTGCACTGGGACAAAATGTTTCGGCGTCTAGATGTGTGTGTGTGTGTGTGTGTGTGTGTGTGTATGTGTGTGTTGCGTTGAACACAAGCTGTACATGCGTGCGCCCACAAGCACGCTGCAAGCTCGGTGGTGGGGAGGTCTTCGCCTTCAGTGCAGGGCGGAGTCCTCACGGAGGCGTGAAATTGGTTTGGAGCAAACACATTACAGAAAGCAATTACCAGGGAGAGGTTCTGGGGCCCGCAGGACGAAACTGCTAGGAGGCAGGGGAGGACGCTCCCTGGCACGCCACAGCGTCTCCCTGTGAAGCTGAGGTCGGGCAGCAGCCCCTTACCACTCTACGAGGCCTTCCATTGCTCCCCGGGTGGGCCGGATGAACTCCCTCCTCCCACCACCTTCCATCCCCAACACCTCCAGGAGAGGCCGCTTCCTCTGTGTTGGTCCTGTGTCCCAACGAGCCATCCACACACCTGATTCTCAGACCAGATTGGAAATCTGCGGAGGGCAGGAACGAGTGTCGTTGGCAGCCATTTATTACAGTATGAAGGCCAGCATGGACGGAAGATGGAAGCGTCCTTGAAGCTTCCACAATAGGACTTTTCAAAAAGAAGGGTAAATAAAGAGGAGCTGATACCAAGGGCTCAAGGAGAAAGAAAATGTTTTGAACAGGATGATGGTGACATATAGGTACAAATGTGCTCGACACACTGGATGTATGGATTGTTGTAAGAGTTGGAAGAGCCCCCAATAACAATTTTTAAAAGAAAGAAACAAGCAGGACTTTCTCCAGCAAGATGTCACATGGAAATGAGTCCCATAATTCCATCCTCCTAACTCCAGGCTCACATAGCCAAGTGCCTTTTAAACCCAGCCTCTTTTAAATGACCAGTCGGACCCACCCACTGCCATCAGGTCATTTCCGACTCAGCGCCCCTAGAGGACAGAATACAACTGCTCCACAGGGTTGCCAAGACTGGAATCCTGATGGAAGCCAGCAGCCACATCTCTCTTCCCCAGCTGCCTAACTTTTAATTAGCAGTCTCAGCTTTAACCACTGCAGTACCAGCCTTCCTAAGATGACCAGGAGGAATCTCAGATCTAACATGTCCACAGTACACTTCTTGATGCCTTTCTCCTCTTCAGCATCTTGTAAGAAGCCCATCTTCTGTTCAGCAGCTCAAGCTAACTGGGGTCAACCTGGAGATTGCTTCCCTCAGCCCTCACACTCCCTCCATCAGGTGGTGCCATCAGGTCTCCAAAAATGTCCCCGACTCTCATCACCCCTGACCTCATCTCTTGAGTGGATTACTGGAATAGCCTTCCAGCTGGTCTCTGATGCTCTCTCTCTCTCCACCCCCCACTATCTCAACGGGTCACAGCCAAAAAGTGGTCCTTTTTAACTTGTTGGAAACATTGTATACAAATACATACATACAAGTACCCTCTGGGTTTTGAAAGTTTGCTTTACACCATTTCGCTTTTATAAAAAGACCTACCTGTTTGGGCGAACTGAAATGAATCAGAAGATTTTTGCTTTTAGGAAAAAGGACAAAAAGTGAATACACTATGCGGCATTACTTTGCAGGGAGCTCTTCACCAGGCAACCTGCAGCTCTAACAGCCAAGCTCTTTCCCCAGAACCAAGTCCTGCTTTTGTTATATGTTAGAGGAGCCCTGGTGACCATGGGCCAGGTCAGCAGTTTGAAATTACCAGATGTTCCTCAGGAGAAAGCCTGTCTTTCCACTCCATAAAGAGTTACAGTATCATATATAAACCATAAACGCATGAATGAATCTGGGGGCTTGCACTTAATTCTAGCCCCAATCTAAAAACAATCAGTTCTTATGACAAGGCCCTGCTTGATATCCTTCTCATGAAGAGATCACTGGAGATATGGGTGCTGTAACAAAGTGTGGTGAAGAAACTAGATGGTACCTGGCTGTCAGAAAGAATTGCATCTGTGGTATTCAAGGCTTGTTGGGGGTATTAAAACAAGCAGCCATCCAAGTGAGGCATCAATTAAATCACATGGAAGAAGCACACCAGCCTGAGTGATGCAAGGATTGTACATAATATAATCCAAATCTAAAGGAGGGAATGGCATCAGAGCTTGTGAACACCTGGTTGTCAGAAGGCTATAGATGACAGTGGAAGCCCAAGATTCACTTGTCCAAGGCCCAAGGTCTACATTTGGATTAAGCCTCCAGAGAACAAACCCCCTTCAATCACAGTTGAGGGATGTGAATAGCCCTGTTATCAGACAGAAAGTATTTATAAAGTCGGTTATGGCCGATGTGGTTAGGTGAGAATGTAATATCATTTGATCTCTTTTTTGACCCATTTAAAAGTTGTCTCCCCCCTCCTTTTTTATCTTTTCTTTTTCAGATGCAGGCCAATACACATGGATCAAGCCCTAATGAATCCCCTCTGACTATGGACCAGGTATGTGAATAGTCTTGCTTCATGCAGAATGGATTGGGAAATATTTTCTGCTTTCTTTTCAATTGAGGTTTTTATCTGTGTTGTTATTCTTGTTGGTTTTGGTTTTGTTTCTATGTTGCATTTTCTGTCTATGAAATCCAGGATAGGTAACTCTAGAGAGACGGTAACTGGGTGAATGGTTCCTTGGTGGTATGTGGAAGCCTCGGTGGTGCGGTGGTTACACGTTGGGTTGTGATCCGCATGGTCGGCAGTTCAACACCACCAACAGCTCTGAGAGAGAAAGGCTGGGCTTCCTACTCCCGTAACAGTTGCAGTCTCAGAAACCCACGGGGGTCCCTCTGAGTCAGCATTGACTTGAAGGCGGTGAGTTTGGGGGTTGGCAGGGAGGTTGGGAGAAAATGGGAGTTAATAATTGTGAGGCCAAGAATGAAGAAAATGTTCTACAACTGATTGTGGTGGTGGTTGTACAGCTCCTGGATACCACCGAACTATTGAATCGTATGAATGATAGGTGAATTATATATGCCAATGAAACTGTTGAAGGGGGGGGGAGACAGTTTCAGAAACCCCCCGGGACAGTGGCTATGAGTCGGCATCCATTCGATGGCAGCAAGTTGTTGTGTTGTTGTTTTACTGATTGCTATTCTTGATTTAGGTCATGTTATATTTGGTTAATTTGACAGGCGATTGTTCCAGGTCTGAGCAGGCCCCCAATATTTTCCCATAGAAAGGCATGGCGATGTTTCGTTGCTTTCTGCCACGTTGGCGTACGACCAGGTTCACAGGAACACGCCGCGTTCAGAGAGGTGGGAAGCCAGGCAGCCTGAACACCTCCATGGTCAGTGCGCCATCCAGCGACGTTACCGCCATTCACCACCTGGTGCTACCTGCTATCCCGGTTCCAAAAGTTCTCCAACAGGCCAAACAGGAACGCAGGGCGCCTGATGTAGCCACGACCCCTGGCCCGCTCCCGCAGCCCCTGGTGATGATGAATCAACATTCTATTTGCCAAATTTGGATATTTCCTAGAAGTGGGATGGATCATACAGTCTGGAGCGATCGTTTAAAACCGAAAACCAGCCCATACCGCTTTCTTGAAGCCCTTTGACCACTTCCAATGCAGGTTGCCTCTTTCTGGACCCCCT